GCTTGTGTAGATAAATCCACTCAATCTGAAGCCATTAGAAGTAATGAATAATTTAAATAATATTGTCATGTGTGATATGTGATGCATATGAATGATTTTTTACTTTTATATTGTTTAAATTTAGACGTACATTTTCATAATGCTAATAATTATGAAGGTAAGATTATTCATTATTATTATTAATTTTTATTCTCATAATAAGATGTAGCTCAAATTCCTATTTCAAAGAGTCTATTAGAACATTTCACTTCAATAAGAATTTCATTTGGTTGTATGATGTATAACGTGTTAGGAGTTATCAAAGAGCTAAAACGACCTCTTGATAAGCTAAAGGAGTTCCTGCTCTGTACCTATGAAGGCTATGATTCTAAACTAAAATCAAAGCTAGATAGTTGTTCTGATATATCCAGTTTATTTCATGTGATTAGAGGAGAGTGTTCATTGACTAATATTAGTCTGTTAGAAGCTGTAGCTAAAAAATTTGACTTCATCGAAGAAGTTTGGGAATACATTATGGAATACAAGGAAACACTGCAAAAGTTTTGTTGGCTACTTTTAGATATATGTAAGGTTGATGATCTGAGGTCCATTGTAGTCCCTTCCAAGCCTCAGCCACATCTTCAGTGTATAACGTTCATCCTTAACTGGGAACCTGAGGAGCATGTGCTAAAAGACATTAAAGAAATTCTTGCCAAGATAACTGAGCCTTATGGTAGACTTATCATTATTAAGATAGTGTGTATTGAGTCTATACCCCATGATTAGTTAATTTTGGTTTTAATTATTGTTATTGAGTTTGAACTTTGAACTTTGAATATACCCTAGCCACACCTCTTGCAACTGCAATTATTATTACTGCATGACATTTTTTCACCTAAGTTCCAAGCAACATGTTCTTCCGAGTGTTCTTCTCCTTTGCTTCTATATCCAGCTGCTGTATTTTTCTGACTGCTGTAACCTTCTCAAAAGTAACAGGTAGGCAGGCCACATTATGAAAATTTGTAATTATTCCTTCATTTTTTCCAGGTACCTGTACAGAAGGTAGTGTAACATTATTTGGCAGTATAAGAGAATATGAAGGACTAGTATCAGTTTGTTATAATGGCACCTGGTCTGTACTGTGTGCTGGTACTGATAGCAGGTGGAATGTAGACACTGCCACCATTGTATGTAGGTCACTGAACTATAAAGGAGCTGGCAGTAAGTATTTGTACATGATCTGTAATTCTTATTTGCTTTTATTATTGCAGTAATTTTTAATGGCTAATTCGGCTATATTGTTTATTACATCTGTTTGTACAAACTAGAGTCATAACAAAATGGCTGAATGTGCAAAAATTAAATAATCACAACTCTTCTTCATTGAATCATTACTCTAGCTCTCTTTCTCTCCTTCTGTCTCTCTAGTTATA